GGAGCGATATGCCGGGTTTTAGCCGGCCCAGGCTTCGTTTCACGAGGACGAACCAGAAGCTGGCCATCGGGCACTCATGTTTAGCCATGCCTTAGGCCGCTGGATCATTGGCCACGCGTCGCATTGTTCGCACTGGATCGATTACCGATGGCCAATCGTCCCTTCCTACCTTGCGGAAGGTCGGGAGGAGGGAGGAGGAGGCTCTTCGGTTGCTACATGTACGGGATGGAGAGGCGACATATTTACACCTCCCATCAATACGCGTGTCAACTCCATTTCGCCATTCCCATAAACCTGCGCTAACCCAGGAAAAAAAACACACGTTGACAGCAGCACTTTCTTGGTGGTGGTCTGTGTATGCTTGTGTGTGTCATCCCATGCATTCCCTGGACGCTATTATTACACCTTTCCTTCGCTACTATATTTTCTGGAGACATCAGCGGAAGTCAACCTACGGCAGTACGACCACAACGGAGTTTGTTCGAAGTGCTGTTTTTTTCCTCCGGAATATTTTAGATCGACCCAAACTACAAACACGCTTGCTGGACCCTTTCGTCCCATATCCCCCCCGCCTTAATTTTTCCAGGGGCCCCCGCGGAATAGAAAGCGCGCCCGCGTATCCTTCCTTTGTCCCGCCGCCCCGCTACAACACTGACTGCCAGCCTAACCATCGCGTCACCCGATTAAGCGCGGTCGATGCCACAACACCCCAACACAGAAGAACAACGCTTCCACACACACACAAAGAGCAAACGCATGCACGCACCCTGATGAGCCCCTTCAAACACCAAAACAGAACCACAAACCGTCTACACACACACACACACTGATACACGCACCTGACAAGTCCCCTCAAACACCAAAGCAGAAACACAACGCTTCCACACACACAAAAACACACGCACGCATGCACGCACCTGATGAGCTTCTTCGCCACGATCGGCTCGTCGAACTCGCAACACTGCATCAGCCGGAGGCAACCCTCCCACAGGAAGGAACCCGAGGCCTGCCTGTACAGCTCCGAGGGGTCTACAATGTCGGTCGTCCACGTCTCCGCGATACGCCGTCTCTCTGCCAGCTCGGCTGGAAAAGGTGTCGTCGTAGCCGGTAAAGTTCATTCGGCGGCAGCGGGGGCGGGGGCGGGGTTGATGTTGGTTAGGATTCGTTGTTGATGTGTAAGTGGATCAGTGTGATGGTAGTTTTCGGCGTAGACAGCGGTACCGTTCATGGCAGCAGCGGTGGCAGGTGCTTGTAGTGTTGCACTAGCAGCAGCAGCGATGGTAAAAACTTGTCGTCGTCATCGTCGGTTATGATACGTGGCGGTGCATTGGCTCGCCTGCACGTGGGAAGCCAGGATGAGGACCGCGAGGCTAAAACGTGGGAAGCGAGGCTGAACCTTCGCTCCCGCCCATGGCATACCAATCTTTCTTTTCCGCGTACAACCCGGACGACATGCCGACAGCCGTACTGGATGGGCCCTTCCCTTCTCAAGGACCTACAATAGAATCGCCCTCACTTGGCGCCCCGCAGAGACAAGAAAGCCACCAATCTAGCAAGCCTACCAACTCCTCCACTCTCGGAAAGCTCTTATCTTCGTCCTTTCTCACAGAAGCATTAAGTTCAACTTCATCCCTCAACCCGACTACATACACAGAGAGGTTCGAGATATATTCGCCACGGATTCACAAACGTGACTTCCGTAAACTTGCGACGAATTCACAAACGTAATTTCCGTAAACTTGCGACGCTTTCATAGAAGTGATTTCCTTGAACCTTGCGATGGGTTCCAAAAAATGATCCCCAAGATGGATTCACAAACTGATTTCCGTAAGGCCGGCGATGGCTTCACAACGTGGCTTTCCGCCAACAACTCACCGAGCAGACCCTCGGTGCCACGGCCCTCCTGAGCCAAGCGCTCGAGTGGAGTCATCGTGGCCTTCAGGTCGGAGAGAAGCCTTTCCTGCACGAGCAGCACGTCTCGCTCGTCCTCCATCGTGCGGAGCTTGGCGTGGTTCAGGCTCCATCCGGGAGCCACCATCTTTTTTGGTTTCGCGACGAAACACGGGGGGTTCGACCGAGAGATGATCATGCACATGTGGGGTGATCATAGATGTAACGGAGCCAGATGGGCACAGGGGGGGGGGGTCATGGTGTGCCATGGGACCACCACCTTTGTCTCGCGAAACACGGAGGGGTAGGCGGAGGGGTCATGATACACAGGTAGAGGCATGGTGTGAGGCAAGGGGGTTCAGGGGATTACCCGGGGGGTCATGGTGTGGTATGGGGGGGGGGGGGGCCCCCCATTCCCCTTTT